TTTAAATGTTGTAGTTGAAGGAGATGGGGACATTTTTGTACTTTTTTCTTGTGGATGAGAGCACTAGGTTCCCAGTATACACTGAGAGCTTAGAGTATACTGGCCTATGGCCATCTAATGGAGCAGGAACTGGAACCCACCAGAATGGGAACCTTGGAGGGAAAGTGCTAGACTGTGGCAACAACCACTGACTGCCCGGTAGTTTTCTTCTGGCCAGCTCGTTCTGCATTTACAGACTCATCAGGAACAGTTGTGGTTTTTAGACTTTTTGTCACCCTTTGGGGTGGGTATTATAAGGCCTTTAGAAAAAGAAATAATAGAACAAAGGACTGCAGGAGAGGAGGGAATTACTAGGCAGATACATGCTTTTTCATACAACAGTTCTTAGTTACTTTGCCATTTTAGCTGTTTAAACTCTTAATTTATATGAATGTGTTATTTTGAATTTTGACTTCAGGTGCTGCTTGTGAGCAGTAGTCGCCATCCAGACCGATGGATTGTCCCTGGAGGAGGCATGGAGCCTGAGGAGGAGCCAAGTGTGGCAGCAGTTCGTGAAGTCTGTGAGGAGGTAAGCGTGGAGGAAAAAGAGGCCACAACTGCACCTTATAACCTTTATCTGTCCTCTCTGTGTATTACCACTCACTGAATAAACAGCATCACAGAGGGATAGCATTTAATGGTTAGACATGACTTTTTTTTTTTGTTTTGGTCATGGGGCTTGAACTCAGGGCCTGGGTGCTGCCCCTAAGCTCTTCTACTCAAGCTAGAGCTTTACCACTTTAAACTATAACTCTACTTCTGTTTTTCCAGTGGCTAATTGGAGATAAGAGTCTCAGGAACTTTCCTACCCAGGCTGACTTTGAACCTCTATCCTCTTATCTTAGTCTCCTGAGTTGCTAGGATTACAGGCTTGAGTCTTGCCTTCTTGAGTAAGGGAGTGATGTGTTGTGACTTGGTTCTGTTTATCAGGCTTCCTGTGTGGGAGAGGGATCTTATTAATGAGTATATCTAATGATACCTGATAGTCCTTTGTAATTTCTCAAGGATCTCTTCCAACTTGCCTTTGTTGCCTTTGACAGAAGCTCTGTATCAGCTCTAAGAATTAAGAGGAGCAGGCTGGATTTGTACTAGTGGCTTGTTCTTAGCCTCTGGAGGAAGGAAAGGAAAGGGGATGAGGAGGGCCCACTTACTCACCTAGCTGTGGAATGGTGGCTGGTCTGTTAGGCAGAGCTATTAAGCAAGGAACAGCTTGAGAGGTGATAATACCTTCCATTTTATTTAATCATATTATGTGCCATTTACCCAGATCAGATTTTTTTTTTTTTGGTCAGTCTTGGGACTTGAACATAGGGGTCTGGGCACTGTTCCTCAGCTCTTCAGTTCAAGGTGAGCACTCTACCACTTGAGCCACAGTGCCACTTCTGGTTTTCTGGTGGCTAATAAGAGTCTCACGCACTTTTCTGCCTGGGCTGGCTTTGAACTGAGATCCTCAGATCTTAGCCTCCTAGGTAGCTAGGATTACAGGTGTAAACCACTGGTGCCTGGCTGGAGTGTGACATTATAGGCTTATTCTTTAATGCAAAAGAATGAACAGATAATTTGTAATTTTAAAATGGAAAAAAATCATTAAAAAGTTTTTATAGCTTCTGTCATAGCTACTTAACTCTGCTGTTGTAGGCAAAAGTAACCCCAGACAACACAGTGCATAAATAAATAGGCCTGATTATTTAGTAAAGCTTTATATACAAAAATGTGAGTGAGCAGGGCACCAGTGGCTCATGCCTATAATCCTAGCTACACAGGAGGCTGAGATCTGAGGATCATAGTTCAAAGACATCCTAGGCAGGAAAGTTTATGACTTTCATCTCCAATTAACCACCTAAAAACTAGAAGTGAAGCTGTGGCTTAAAGTGGTAGAGCATACTAACCTTGAGCAAAAAAGCTCAGGGATAGCACCCAGGGCCTTAGTTCAAACCCCAACACTAATTTGAAAAAAAATGAAAAAGAACGAATCATAATCATTGGTTTAAGCCTTTGATACTCCATGTGTTTAGTGGACCTATACCATCATTGTTGGCCAGGATCTTGATAGAAAAAGAAAATCGCAGGCCCTAATCATAACTGTCAAAATCTGCTGTTTATTTTGTTTTACTTTGCTGTTTTATTTTCTCCAATAAATGACTCAGAAAACTAGAAGTGTTGCTGTGGCTCAAGTGGTAGAGCGCTCACCTTGAGCTGAAGTTTCAGGGTTGAACTAGGGACCTTGCACTTGCTCAACCTACTTGTCCAGCTGCATTCTACCACTTGAACCACATCTGTAGCCTGACTTTTAAAAAAAATTTATTCTTATTATAAAGGTGATATACTGAGAAATTACAATTACAAGTCAGGTACCAAGTACACTTCCTTTCGTACAGTGTCTTCCCTTACCTCATTTTCTCCTAGTCTCTCCCCCGTTTCCATCCATGAGTTGTATAGTTTACTTTCATTAATATCCAGTGAGTTCTACTGCTGTACTTTTCACCCTCCAGCCTGGCTTTCTGATGAATTTTTTGGAGATGGAGTTTTGTAGACTTTTCTGCCTTTGTTAGCTTTAAACCTTGATCCTCAGATCTCAGCCTCCAAAGTAACCAGAATTTTAGGCAAGAAGACCCTAGCACCTGGCTGTTTCCCTTTGTGGTTTTTTTTCTTTTCTTTCTTTCTTTTTTTTTTTTTTGGTCGGTCATGGGGCTTGAACTCTGGGCCTGGGTGTTGTCCCTCAGCTCCTCAGCTCAAGGCCAGTGCTCTACCACCTAAGCCACAGTGCCACTTCCGGTTTTTGAGTGGTTTATTGGTGATAAGAGTCTCATGGAGTTTCCTTCCCCGGGCTGGCTTTGAACCGTGATCCTCAGATCTCAGCCTCCTCAGTAGCTAGGATTACAGGCGTGAGCCGCCGGCGCCCAGCTTCCCTTTGTGTTTCGTGACAGAGTCTTACTATATACTCCTTGCACCAACATACCTGACTATTAGAATCTGATTTTAGGGGCTGGGAAGGTGGCTCAGTGGTAGAGCACTTGCCTTGGATGCATGAGGCCCTGGGTTCGATTCCTCAG